TTGGTTTGGTTTATTTCGTTTTACGGCATATCAACCTCAATGGGTTATTTAATGCCCACAACATATTTTATTGCTGGTAATATTTATTTTTGTCAAAAATCTGTTTCTGGTAATATTTTTTCCTTCAAAATTGTATTGCTGCTTATATTTTTTTCAAAATTGTATTGCTGGTAATAGTTAACTATTTGCCCATAGTTGAGACCCTAATAGGTGCTACCAACTCGGGTCAGGGTGGACCTGGGAACACCAGAAATTAAGAGGTGGTTCTACGCTCCTTGCTGCCTGATGTAGTTTATCGTCTTACCCAGGACCCAGATGTAGTTTAACGTCATACCGACGACGATGAAGAGACAGAGCACATAAAAGAAAAAAAAAAATGGTATACGTATTTTCTTATCGAAATGCGTTGGCAAACGTGATTTTTTTTTAGTTTTTGTTTTACTATAGAAGTGTTCTTCATTGCAAGATAATACTGCAATATATCTACCGATATTGGAACACAAATGTGTGTGTGTGTTTGTGTGTGTGTTTGTGTGTGGGATATATATTTATATATTCATGAATATGTAATTACGTTGGATTTCTTAAAACCCAAACCCTGAAATCGTATAAAGATAAAAGAAAATCCACTCTGGAAATATTTTATGTCCAGTTTAATCTCTTTTTCCAGGATTCAAGCACATCGAATTAAATCCTCACGTGGGTGAGATGTCATGAGTGTTTATTTTAGTAGACCATTTTTCGCTTGCGTTGTGAATTAATGAAGTCGCTTTTTTAACATTGGATCTTTGTATGTTACTTTTGACATTAGACTTCTAAACAGAGCAATCCGCTGGTTTATGCAATAAATAGAATATTTTATAATGTGATTGTCTTAGGAAACAATATAGAACGAATCATTTGCAAGGAAAACTTCTAATATTATAAAAAAAATTCATTTTAAATTCATACTCATCTAAATGCCGCTGAAGGAGTCCGTTAATCTTGATGTCAGGTTATATCTTCTACATATATAAAACTGACTATGTGTGTACGTGTGTGTGTATATGTGTGTGTTGCGAACTACTCTCGAACCATAAGGCATATTTCCACCAAATTTGGAACATAGATTGTACTAGATATTGGGTGTGTCTGGGCAAAAAAATACTCATTTTTCAAAAATAAATAACTGATAATCGATAAATATAATGTTTAATGGGAATTTCCATTAGTTTGGTTGTTTTTAAACTTTCACAATTGAAGTCTAAACACTAAGGCTGATTTTAATGAAACTTGATAAGTGTATGCAACTTACTATCACGCTTATTATACGCTATATCGATTTTTGTTTCTCTCGACACTGGGACTCCCAGCGTGCCCCAAAAGGACCCCCAAAAATTCAAATTGCTTCGATTTTGATGACATTTCCCATGTTTGTTACGCTTTTACAATGCGATAGAAATCGGTTGTCATGAGTTTTAAAAATGCAAGTGTATTTTGCTTTTCAAGTGTATTTTTCTCAATTTCATTCAAAAATTTCAGTACATATTGAGATTAAATCGAGTAACTGAAGTAGTCATTTGGAATTCACTGAAAATCAAAACTGGGACCCCCACGAGTTAGGGGACCAACAGGGAACCCTAAATTTTCAATTAAGTCTACAGCCTTGGCCATAAAGTCGATTAAATAGAAAACTTTAAAAAGATGTGTTTTATTATTTCAATTACTATTAATCTTAAACCTGTCCTTTGGCTTGAAATTTGGGACCCCTAGGGTGAACAAAAAGGGACTCTAAATTTTCAAATTGCTTCGATTTCGACGGAATTTTACATGTATGTTACAATCTTAAAATGAATCAAAAACGATTATCAAATTTTGAAAAAAATAAAGGGACCCCCAAGATGACCCATGAACAGCTTGCTGCTCCATTAGTTTTTCAATTGTAGTGATTAGCAGTATTCCGATGAACATTTGCACATAATTTGTGTTTAGATCAATCAAGTGAAAATCAAACATGACACCCCATGTGTCATAAATACATTATGAAAAATATCAGTTTTTCCCATGGATTTCCCGTTTTGGTATTGAAATAATTTAGTTTACATTAACTTGACGGCAAAAAATATATCCTTCCTTAAAGAAAAAAGAATAAGTGCAAATGAAAGTGTGCACCGATGAGAGAAGTGGACGTAGGTATAAAACGCGTGTGCGAGATCGATCGAGATGTGTAGTGCGTACAATTGATTTTTCAATGATCGATCGAGTTTTGTAGTGCGTACTATCGATTTTCCTTCACGTTTAGTGTTCATTAGTGCTATGTGATGAAATAAATGCAAAAATCTCATTCGCATCAAAGTTCTCTTCAAGTAAAAAAGGTAGGCTGTCTTCATACATGTATATTTTGAATTTTTGATAATTTAAATTTAAATTTATGAAAATCATCTTATTCAAAAAAGTTTCAGCGTAAATGCCAATTTTTAATTATGTATTTATCATCTTCTAATCAGCGTTTAAATAATGCTTATTAACTCATATGTTTGAAAACTTGAGCCTTAAAATTTTGACAGTTTTATTCTGAAAAATGCAAATGTAAAAGACTTTTTCGATTCATTTATAATTATGCTAAATTTTGCGTGTACGTTTTAACGTTCATAGTGAGTAGGTTTCTAGCTGCACGTTAATTTTATTTTTATCACTAGAACGTTCTTTTTTTTTTTTGGTAGTCTATTTTTAGATAAATCCAAAACTTTACGAGCTTGCTTATAATTTTTTACCACGTTCTCGTGGTCTCCTTATAAACCTGCATTTAATTTATTGTGGCTATATTTTCATTAATGTTTATAATATTCTTGCTTTTAAAATTGATTACTTCATTATTATTCAAAAAGCTTAGCCAAACCCTCCAACTACAGCCTGATAGTAATGTCAAGAAAGCGAAATCCTTCATTTGGACGTGCTACTACTACAGCCAAACGCATTTGCAAAGAAAAACTTGCAACAAAAAATTAGACTGACACAAAATGCTATTCGTACAGCTAATGCAAGGTCAGCAGAAACTAATGAACAACGGTTAACTAGACGAGGAAAGAACGCTGCCAGAATTCGTGCTACTCGAGCTGTCGAAACTGAGGCAAAAGAACAATTCTATACAGTCTTTGTGAACGTTGGTTTTCAGCCTTGTCATGGCTGCTAGGAGAAGTCTTTGTTGAATTTCTTCTCCTTCCAATGCATGTTGTTCATTCGATGTAGTTTGAGCAAAAGCTGTCAACAAAGCATTTCTCCTCATCAATTTTCGAAGATCGATTGCGATTAATGTACTCTTTATTTGCTGACAAATTTTTTGTATCTTCTGTGCTTCTGTAAAAAAACAACTTTCTCCTGTTATAAATCTTTTCACACTTCATGTCATTATAATTTTTCGCCATATAGATAAGAGGCACTAAAGAGGAATCCTCTTTATTTTAACTTTACAGATTGGATGAGGTTCGTGATCTATATTTTTTAATAAAGCCAGTCAACGCCGGGTAATACTGCTATATATATATATATATATATATATATGAAGCAAAAAATACAGAAAAAACAAACAAAAATCTTAATATGTAATTTAACAACAAAGACGATGGACATAAGAGCACAACTAATCCAAAATTTACTTTTATAACATGGAAGACTTCAAGCTTGGACGAAAATATAAGTATCTATTGATCAATTATGAAAGGATTTATTATCGAACTGCTTTTTAAAATTGTTCCATCGTTTTTAAATCATTTTTGATTTGTTTTGTAACATGGATTAATTTGTATGAAGATATAAGAACCTATTGATCTCTGCGTATTCCTATATCAACGGAAGGGATTTCTTGAACTGTTTATATAAAATAGTTCAATCGACTTTTTAATATTTTAATATTTGGAAATCATCTTCGAATACGTTTTCACAACATCGCCCACGTGACGACGCGGTGATTATATTTAAACGGAACGCTGATCTTATATAAAAATTTCAGTTATCTGTTTGGATTAGTTGTGCTCTCTTATGTCCATCGTCTTTTTGTGTTAAATTTTATATGTTCTAATGTTAATTATGTTTAAATGAAAATGTCCATGAAGATGGTCTTAAATAGACCGAAACGTCCGACGTCGACTTTATATTAACATTAATACAGCATAATTGCATATTAAGATTTTTTGGTTTTTTTTTTTTCTGTATTTTTCTTCATACTATCGGATCTATATCCATATATTTGCTTATATATATATATATATATATATATATATATATATATATATGAAAATTAATTATAAAAATATATAAAGAATTATATTGCAATGGAATTTTAACTAAAGAAAAGTGTTCCTACCGAGAGCAATTAAACCTGTATCCCGTTAGCATGACAAAATATAGCTAACACGTGCCATTACCTTCTTCTGCGGGGATGATCTAAATAGTGCGAGATTTTGAATATCTATTTAACCAAAGTATATCCCTGTTTGAACTACTATGAATCTATAGGGTCACCTCGACGTGGTGTAATCGTTAGCAAGCTTGTCTCGCTACAACAATTACAACTTAGTAGTTAGTTTGATCCTCACTGACTGAGTGCCCTTTCGACCTTGTGCCACATCTGAGCTACATTTGGAAAAACACTATATATATATATATATATATATATATATATATATATATATATATATATATTAGTGGAAAATATGCAATCTTGGTAGAACGCGGTTTGAATTATCTATTTAAGGAACGTGAAAAAACAGGTACCGGTACGTTTCAGCTATAAAAAGTATTTTCTACTGTTCATATATTTATATAATTGCAAAAGGAAACCGAAGAAATTGTAAACTCACACAGATCTTGTTCTATTATAAAAGCTCACTTTTTACAATAAATACACCTGAATAATTATTTTTTAATTTAGGATCGATAATCGATTTTGTTAAGTTGCTTATGTTTGCTTTTCTCAACGCGTTTATTTGTAGAAACAGGAAATATAAATATAAGCATGTGCCATGGATTTCTTATTGTTTGACGTGATTACGTATTTACTGCGTATTCTGATTTATGAAAGGAACGGTCGTTTGTTGAACGTTTTAAAAGAAATCAATTATTATTTGGCAACGTTAGAAAGAGTCTGCAGACCCTAATTTCCCTTATAGAAATTAGACAGTTAACAGTCAACTGAAATTCAAAGATTCTATTTTTAATTTCGTAAAAATAATTTGATGATGACTTAGACAGAAAAAAAATGGCCAGAATTTGTGTAACGGAAGTTTCTTCATGAAAGCGTCGAAAAATTATCGTGTAATAGTGTGGAAAAAAATTTTCAACAAAAAAGATAGAACAAAATAGTTGCACTGACTCCTTTTAAAAATAACCTTAAAGTCGTGAATGCCTTGCACACATGGAGAAGTGTTAAATATGTAGAACCACGTTTTCAAAAGATTTAGACTAATCTACCTATCTATATATCTATCTGTCTGTCTATCAATCTGTCTGTCTATCTATTTATGTATCTGGCGGTCTGTATATCTATCTATCTATCTATCTATCTATCTATCTATCTATCTATCTATCTATCTCTATAATTCTCAAAAATGTGTGTGTCTATGTGCCTGTGTGATTAGATATTGTTTATGCGCTTGCGCAGTTTTCAACCGATTTCGATTAAATTTTTGTTGATAGATAATTCTTCAGAGCCGGTTTGGAGAACAAATTGACTCGAAACAACTTTCAAGCTGGAAAATCGAAAATACGACTCTTTACGCTTTGTGCAAAAAATCAAAGGTAAAAATGTAATGTCTTTGAAAGCCAGTGTACAATCAATTTGGAAGTTGAAATCTAACACAAAAGATTATTAGAATTATAAAAAAATTATATTATAAATAAAAATTATCGTATATTATTATTATGACGGTCTATGGATGAGGTTCCTTCCTTTTTTTTGAGAACGCAAAAAACGGCGCTTTTCAGCCACTCTCCCCCCTCTTCAAATTGTTAGCAATTTGAGAATTTTTTTGTTGCACCCAAATGTTGATATTGATATTGATTTTTGGGTGGGCTGACTTTAAACTTAAACTGCTCCAATTGAACGGTAAAAATTCTCAGTAAAAAAACACCTGGTCGAAGACAGGTTATACTGCTAGTATATCTATTATATCTATCTATCTATCTATCTATCTATCTATCTATCTATCTATCTGCCTACCCTTCTATCTATCTATCTATCTATCTATCTATCTATCTATCTATCTGTGGATTTATCTATTTGTCTGTCAATTTATCTTTTTTTCAAACTGTCTGTGTGCCTATGTATCATCAATGTCTGTCATGTCTATCTATCTATCTAGCTATTCTATCTATCTATCTATCTATCTATCTATCTATCTATCTATCTATACGTCTATCTTTTTATAGGTCTGGTTATCTAGCTGTCTATCTATCGATATATCTATGTGTCTATAAATTTATATGTCCTTCGGTCTGTCTTTCTGTCCGTCTGTCTATTTTTATCTGTCTCTCTGCCTATCTATCTATCTATCTATCTATCTATCTGCATGTCTGTCTATCTGATTGTCCGTCCATAGATCCATCTCCCTATCTGTCTGTCTTCCGTCAATCTATCTATATCTATCTATCTATCTATCTATCTATCTATCTATCTATCTATCTATCTATCTATCTATCTATCTATCTTTTTTATCTGTCTGTGTATATATCTTTCTGTCTGATCGTTCTTATAAGAAAGAAAAAACTGTCAAATCGGTAGGTGAGGGCCTCAAACTCAACACGGAGGACTACATCAAGTGCCCTGCGTAGGAAATGCTGTCTTGGGTCATGTGGGTGGCTGCTGGAAGACTATATCAACAGGACTCTGCACCATGACAGAAAAACCAGGAGTACCTAATCATGGCTGTCAGACAATTACTGCGACTACAACACCCCTTATATCTGTAAACCCCTTGATTATTATGTGTCGAACGCAGTTGTTCGAGAAACCAATAAAAACCCTTGTAACATAAAGATGAACTGAAGGCAAAGATTATGGCAGCATTCACCGACTTAAACGAGGAGGCTTCTTCTTCTTCTTCTTCTGTTGCTGCTGTTGCTGATGCTGCTGTTGCTGCTGCTGCTACGTAATTTCCAACCACACGGAGTTTCCAGTTTTCTTTCGATAAAATAGTGTCAGTATAATATAATGCAAATTTAGAAACTTGGGGAAAATCTATTTTAGCTTCGCACACAGTATAATTACATAAGTACATGTATATGGATATAGAAGGAAATAATATTTGTGAAAAATCATTATTATCTCCAAAATAAATTCTTACATTTTAAAAATAACGCCAGGCTTTGAATAACCGACAAAGGTTTGATATAGTGGTAGAAAATTAATCAAACAATATATTTTATATATTAGAATTTTAACATAAAATTTTGTCGATTTTACCTTGGAAAGATGTAAAAATATAGCCTGAGTGTGTTTGTCATATTACAATCTGAACCGTTTGTACAGCTTTTTGTCAGTAATTAACCCCATCATTGTTTTCAATCTTGGAGACGAAACCCCCTGTTATAGACTGAATTCTCTTCATGGCAGTTTGTTACATGCAATCTTTCGGATAAGTCTTTAATTTGAAAGCCTTTAATGGCAATGTGAAGAAATGGCGATTTTAGTTTCGATGTGCTTGGCAAGACTGAATGACGCATTAAGAGATATACTCAGGCAGAAAACTTCATTGATTGCTTCGTAAATTTATTGCTAATGGTTTCTCTGTAAGATGCTGAAGGCAGCTTTAGAGGAAATTCCCAAAAGGGATTCAAAAATGGTGTAAGAAGAATTTGAAGACAGTAATACGAAATCATGTATAGTATGATATTATCGGCGAGGAACTAGCTAAAAAAAAAAAAAAAAAAAAAAACGGGACTTAAAGTTTTTCCTTTGTTTTCTTTGAAAATCTCACCAAATTATAAAATCTATGTGAAGGGGTTTGATATTCCTGCTGAATGTAAATTACGCCTCTGGAATCTTTGGAAGATTATATTGTTTTAATATTAGATTATGCTAGATTTTATTTTTTGGGTTTTTATGACTTAATTTGATGAAATATAGTTACAATTATAGTCTATAAGACACAATCAAGTATCATTGATGGTTTCAAAAGTAAAGGCCGATGATTTTATATATTTATGAAACGTTTGATTTGTTGGAAAATTAGAATCAATGGTAGTCGTTTATGGATTGGTAAATAGAATAATAACAAGTTACGGTTTGGTTTGGTTTATTTTGTTTTACGGTATACCAACCTCAATGGGTTATTTAAATGCCAACAGCATTTTTAGGATAGATTCGTATGAAAAGAATATGTATTCTTTGGTTGAGATTGGTTTGATTTATTTTATTTTACGACATATCAACCTCAATAAATTATTTAATTCCAACAATTGTTTTTTTTATTGCTGGTAATATTTTGTTTTGTCAAAAATCTGTTTCTGGTAATATTTTTCCTTCAAAATTGTATTGCTGCTAATAATTTTTTTCAAGAACGTATTGATGGTAATAATTAACTATTTGCCCATAGCTGGAACCCTAACAGGTGCTACCACCCTGGGTCAGAGTAAACCTGAGAACATCAGCAATTAAGAGGTGGTTCCGCGCTCCTCAAAACCTCCTGATCAGAGGCCTTGCTGCTGGATATAGTTTATCGTCTTACCCAGGACGCGGATGTAGTTTGAAGTCTTACCCAGGACGGACAAGTTACGGATGACAAAACTGCGGGTAGAATTTTTTTCAGTATAATATTCTTTCCAATGTTCATCAAGGAGTTGTATATTTATATAACATTTTCTCTGTTATTTTTACATGCATTGAAAACGAGAAAGATGTCCATTTTCAAATTCCGCACATTTTATGTTCTACGGAAGATTTAATATCGTTTTTATTTTTATTTTTTATTATGTTGTTCGAAAAATAGCGTTCAATTTTAGAATAAACGTCTATATTTCTGAGATAAGGTATTATGTACACTATTTACATTATTCGGGCCATTGTCCTCATCTTTGTCGCCATATTTATTACAACGTTTCGGCCGTTGTACGCTCCGGCCTTCTTCAAAAGTTGGACGATACTTCGCAGATATCTCTCCTGCCTAAGACTCCACGCTACATAGAGGAGAACATGCTTACAGACTGTGTGTACGCTATCCCGTGCAGCTGCGGAAAGAAATATAAAGGGGAGACAGGCCGCCCCCTTAAGGTAAGGCTTCAAGAACACCAGAAAGCTGTAACACGAGGGAAAGTGGAAAAATCAGGCGTGGCTGAGCACATATACAGAGAAAAGGGAGATGACCGTCCTCTTTGGGATAAGATTGAGATCATAAGCAAAGAACAACATTGGAAAATTCGTAAACTTAAGGAATCAGCATATATGCTAGGCTATAAAAATCTCCTGAGCCGACCAAGCATAGAAATGAATACAATATGGGATCCAGTAATAAGGAGTGCCAGAGAAAAGCAATAATAACAACAAAAATTGCAATGTGAGCTCTGGTAAAAATATGTAATGATAACAGCAGAAATTGCAGCATGAGCACTGGTAAAAATGGTTGCTGAAGACATTAGGTTTATAATACCCAAAAATCCATACACAGCCTCAAGGACACATGGCACAGTGGATAAAGGCCTTAGTTAGATCTAGGGACAGGACCCATAGAGTGTGAGTTCAATACCTGGATAAGGCGTTGGAGAACTTGAATAGGGTAACTAGCAGGAAATAACTGATAACTGACATCCATTGGACATGGCACGTGGAACTAGAACCGTTTATCCCAATAAGCGAAATAAAGGGTTCAGTTAGACATTCCAACCACCTGAAGAAGGCCGGAGCGTTGTAATAAATATCGCGACAAAGATGCAGACAATGGTCTGAATAATGTAAATACTGTTTAGAATAAACATTTGAATTGTGTTCTAATATATTGCCGTAATAACTACAAAAAAATATTCGTTCCTAATGATTAAAATGTCCTCTTTGTTTATTTAATCTCAATCTCTTTTAGAATTATCTTAAAATATAATATACCCTTCATCCGGAACATGAAAAAAAAAAGAGTTTACGTTTTTTTGCAAACTTGGTCATAATGCTCTTCAAACTACTGTCAACATTAATTAATGATCACCTTGCGATCGTACAGTACGGCGTTGGTTTCTGAAGCTCCGCAGTGGGGATACGAGTCATAAAATTAGGTGGTTGAGAATGTCTATTTGCATTTGACAGTCAACATCTGAGAACACTAGGCGAACAACGCCCTCATCAAATTGTCAGAGAACCGTCTCAGATATGGATGACAGCCTTTTAATAATGCTGGACCATCTCAAGAAAATTGGCAAGATAAGAAACTCGATAAACGGCTTACACATGAATTTGAGTTTGAGGTTTTGAAGTATGCATTTTCTGATTGAATAGTGACCGGATCCTTATGATAATCTTAAATGTGAAGACCTAACAACTGATTCAATATAATGACTCCAGTTCATGTCAGTGGAAAACATGATCCCAAGAAGTCGCAAAAGTTTTCTCTAATTCCGTAATACTGTAACATCAAATATAAATGGGAGATTTATATACAATCAATAAGTTCAACATCTTGTATACAATAATTTATGTCCCGATCCTTTATGACAATAATAAACGTTTAGCTTGATCATACCAAAGAAGCCAACCACTTTCCAAAACCAAAATTGCACCAACAGACAATATTGACTGTCTGGTGGTCCGCCACTGGCATTATCTACAGATTTCTGGAATCTAAGAGATCACAGTTGAAGTTTGCCACCAACTGGATGAAATTCACAGTTAAGCAAAATGCAACTTATAGTGGCTTATCGACGTTGTCCAATTATGTTCCATGTCAGTTCTCGATCCCATATTACTAGGATCACACTGTAGAAGATCCTCGACTTCAGATACGATATTTTGCTACATCCACCATATTCCTCTCTTCTCTCGCTCCCTGAAGAATATTTTTAAAGCATTTTAATAATGTTTCAAACCAGAAGATGCAGACATTGTATTCAATGATTTCTTGCCGTCCAAAATTTAGGGGTTTATCATAAAAGCATAAATAATCTTGTAACTCGATTGTCGAAATGTATAGATACGCACTGTTCCTGTACTGATTTACACACTGTTTAAATACATTCATTCAGGAATAAAATCGGACATTATTTTACGAACAATCTAATAGATTTGTTTTTCTTCTCATCCCAAACCATTGTAGAGGCAAAGGGCCTCTAATTCGACATCACTTTAATCCGATCAACACTAATTTTCTTCTAACAATCCAGTAAACAGAAACAAATTCAGTTACCCGGTCTTCTTTTATGACTATGAAACGTTTCTCGTTTGATATTTTACAAATAATAAAGGGTGTCCATAAAGTTTGTGTGCACTTTAAAAAATTATTTGTATTTGCGATAGAAATTATCTGTAAAAAATGTTATAAAGTTTAATGTACCTAGTTTTAAGTATAGTTAATAAATAATTCTTTACCACGAATGTTATTTCAGGCATTACTGTAAATCAGTTTTCCGTGAACTGCAAAATCGTATTACCCTTTGTATTGCTAATGATGGGGGACCTGTGGAAACTTAAATAAAATTTCAATAAAACTTCAACAAATATAGATTTACTTCTTTCTAATTCC